AGAGAGGTCAGAGCTGTTTTCTCCATTCGTTAAAGAAACAGTGTAATTTCACAGAATGCTCTCAATAAATATCTATTAACTCAGCTAGAAATGGATAAATATGCTGTATAGCTAGCAGACCATACCACTGTAGAAAGTGTGGTGTCTTAACCACTGGACTTCAGATACAGTTATGACAAGATCTCTCTTCCAGACCAAATGGAAATTTAAAAAAAAAAAAATATATATATACACACACACACACACACTCTCAGGGTAAGTTTTTAGGCGAGTTCTTTGTTTCCCCCCTCTAGGTGCTCTAGAGAGGGAATTATCTCCGCTCACACTTGATCAGGTAGGATCCTTTCTATTAAGTCAACATTACTTCTTCCTTTTTGTACCCAAGGAAGTATGCTGACAGTGCAATGTCCTCCTCCTAGTCATGTGGCATTTCTGTAACCTCCAAAGTTTAAAAAGAACACAACTTGGAACCAGAGAGCAGTCTCCTACCAAATACACACAACCGTGCCCCACCTCTTCCCTGATGGGTGTGGAGAAACTTCACCTCTATAACTTTCAATTCACACTTTGCAAAATTACCATTTTAGAGACTAAAAGACAACTGCAACCTGACATCCTGGGGGAACCCACACCCATCCCTTCTGCAGCCAGGCTGGGGAATGTCACAGAGATAAGAAAGGTTTTCCACAGAGAATCACAGCATGGGACTCAATGCCACCCCACCTGTAGGGAAGCTCACCTAAGACGTTCAGAATTGTCTCACCTACCCCAGTAACTCACCTCTTGACAACAGCTAGAACTGGATGTTTAGAAAGAAGAATACGGGGCAGGAATTAACAACAAAAGAAAGTGAGGGCACACCAACAGCTCTAGTTAATATTCTGTTCTCAGCTTCCCAGAGATGCACGTGGTTTTATCCACAAACTCCTGAATGGCTAAGATCTGGCACAAATACCATCCCTTAACCAGGGTACCAGGTCATCTTTTCAGTTTAAAGTTTGGTTGTAGGTTTTTTTCCAGACTAACTTTATTTTTAAAGATCAAAACCCCCATGATTTATAAACACCATAAACATGTGCATATCACACAGAGGTGGGCACTGTAGGTACATATGAGTGAGTTAGGGGATGCTGAGCAAACCTGTATTTCCTACACACAGGTTGGGCAGGGAGGAATAAGAGATTCTGCTGAGTGCTCTTGCCCTACACACAAACATGAGCAGCAGAAGCAAGAAGAGACTCTTCAGCCCATGTTTTTGGGGGCCACCACCCCCAGCACTGAAGAAACCACTCCTGGCAGAGAAGCACTAACACTGTTCTTTGAACCAGTAACAAGAAGATAACTGCTGCCTTTAGTCTGCCAGTACATAACGTCATAACAAGAGCAGAAAATAAATCCTTCCTCTTAATTCACACTAATAATACTCCAAACCCTTGAATTTTTTTTCTAATTCACATTAGTGATAAGTTAATTATATATTCAATGCTAAAGGCTACATTAAAGCTTTACTCACCCCTGAAGTCTACTTTAGAAAGAAGAAAAAAAAAATGTGTTAGAAGAAAAAAAGTCTGACAGTCTTTAACAGTAATTTGTCAAATAGCTGTTCAAAGTTATTACTATCAGTTTTGCAAGCTGAACAATTAGTACGAGTGAAAGCCTAAAGAAGTACATTCACTTCCAGATCTACTGTCACATGAGGATACAAGGCTTGGGGGTTGTTTTCCAGAACAGTGACAGTAACACTTTCCCCAAGCCTACACAACTGTCAGTTTAGAGAAGAAAGCAGACAGTTCACTACATCATTTCCATGAACAACCACAATCAGGGAGCTGAAATAAAGTATTAGGAATATGAAGACATTTTGCAGTGTTGAAAAGACAGACTGCTATTTTACATGACGGTGCCGAACCCAGGCAGTAAGACAAATTTTTATTTAATTTTTCCTTTAACAAAGAACAGTTCACAGAATTACACAGAAGATAAAAGTAATTACAGCAGTCACATAGCTTACAGCACAGGTGTGTCTATACCTGGGCTAACTCCAGTGCAGCCTCATAAAACTTGCAATTAAAACAACAACTCAAAAAGATCCAAACATTCTCTAAGTGCAAATGAGCCTTCCTTTAGAAAAATACACTATTTTTCAATTCCTGCTTATTTTCAATTCTTGTAACATGTTAGATGTCCTTCATAAATTACCCTTAACTTCAGGTGAGGTATATGATTGCCCAATACACCTGCTCATTTCTAGCAAGAATTTTAACATCTGAAAATACCGTTGCACTTTCACAATGCAACAGACAGGGCAAGGCATACTCTGAACTTTAATAATGTCAGGAAAAAAAATTACCCAGTAAGAATAAGAGGCAGACAGCTTGATTAAAATCTATTTCTTCATCAAAGGTATGTAAAACAAAACCATTAAATATTGTTCTGTATAAAGAAGTATTCAGCTAGACTAATTCAATGTCAGAATTCTCATTTTTTCTAAAGCTGAAAGACGTGTATTTTATAGAAGAAACAATCTGATTTCAAGTCTCCTGTTGAGTCTGCAACTAATGCGACAACTGAACTTCAAAAACTCCTTATAAGCTGAGCTGCTGGGTAGGAATCTTTGCTTTAAGCTTCCTCCCTCTTTTGCTTTAGCCTAACCACTATCCTATCAAACATTTTGGATTATTGTTTCTTAAATAAGCCGAAGTTTGCCAAATAACATGTCTGAATTGAAGACAGAGTTCACTAAAGAGAATAAAGGGACAGATGTGAGCAGTGACACAAACGGAGAGATATGGGATTCGTCCTACCAGATTTTTTTTGCAGCTGTTCCCAGCCACCACTTGGAGTTACAGCCCTTTATCCTGGGTGGCAGCAGCAGCTGCCAACAAGGCTCAGGCACCCTTTGCACATATTTAAACAATGCAACTGGGTTTTTGTCTGAGTGTTCACAGGTTTTATTCTCCCCCCCCTCCTCAGTTAGACTTCCTCAGGACTTACTGTAGTGTTGAATTCAAAGTTTACCACAAATAAACTCTGCCAGCTCAAATTCAGAAATTCAAGAACTGAATCTTCAGAACCAGAAATCCAAGTTCTCAATCTCACTTTCATTAATATCTGTGCACCCACCCCTGATTTTTTTCCCTAGCCACCACTACACACAAGCAGAACAAAAGAACCATAGTGCAATTAACATTGCCTTATGGATAGAAAATGAACTTACTTATCAGGTTTTAAAGCACAACACAGAGAATAAATAGAAGTTATAAAATTCTGACCATCAGCCCATGTATGTATTTACACAAATCCTGTTTTTCCATTGGTTTATGTCTCTGAACTATTATTTAAATGTAATAAAAACAAGGGATAAATAGGTGTAACAGTAATGGTAATAGTATCTTCGTGACTCCTTTATGTGGTAGGCACACAGCCTTTGAGAGACACCACAATAATACAGTATCACTTTACAAGGCCCATGAAAAAGCCAGGAGTGGAACTGAGATGCCTCCTCTGCAAGAGCTGAGCAAGGAGCACAAACTTCATCAAAAGCTGCAGTTAATACATTAGGGACAGGGAAAGGAAATCGTCAGAATGTGCTGATGAAAACAAAACAAAACCCAAACATAACTGGGATTCAGAAAAAGGGGTGGATGGAAGATTTTTATCTTTGCCTATATTTCAAATGGATGGATTGCATAACAGAATATATGCCTGTAGAGTCATTGAGTGGAAGAAATTACTAATTTTTAATTAATATCTCTAGAGAATGTACCAATACATCTAGAAATATTCACATACAAACACACACACATATCTATACCCAAATAGAATATTTTTTCCCAAAAACCACATTCTGCAATTGTTATATTTGCAACATTAAATCCACTGACTCATCTTCCCACCACATTGAAAAAAGTTCTAGAAAAGCACTGAACAATGCCAAGTTGTTAAAAAAAAACCACAAAAAACTATCAAAAAAACAAAAAACAAAACCCACTGAAAGAAAGAACAGTTGCCAGGAAGTTTCCAGTTTGTTTTTAAAAACCTATACATAGATTTTTAAGAAGATACTTGGTTCATCTAAAGAATCACACGCTGCTGGAATATCTGTCCTAGTTCTCAGCCTGTAAATAAAATAATTTGCTTCCATTCTTATTCCTTTTGCATGTGTCACCCCATCACGGACACCACTATATACTTCCTTCTGCTGGATGCCTGCCAGGCAACTGAACCCAGGTGAAGGACCAAGTCTTCAGCTGTCAGTAGGTAGAATTTCTGTAGGAATTCACTCTCCTCTTGTTCAGAGACTCAGGATGACAAAGGCTTCTTAGCAGATGTTTGCAAAGAGCTACTGAGCAGTGCATTAGGCTTTCCCAGTTGTTTGGTTCCTGTGGGCACTAACTGGCAGAAAGCTGTGCATATTCATTACAAGATTTATAAGTATAATCAAGATTTTGTCTAAGTAATATTGAACATAAAACAAACCAGAAATTATCCGGTTGCTAATTTCTAGCAACGCATTTCTGGTCTTCAGAAAAAAAAAATTCCTTTGCTTCCTTTAAAAAAAATAAAATCTTTGGAATAAAGAGTTGCTCCCCCAAAATTTAGCAAGTTGATGTTGCCAACTAACATTGCTTCCTCAAAGAGACATTTCTGTGTTCTGGCAGTGTAACTTGTACACTTTATAAAGCCCAGTCAGTCCCCAGGGCAATGATGGGAGAATAAATGCAGTTGCAAAAGGGTAACACAGGCAAGCAGCTGGAGGGGAGCTTTTTTACTGGAAAATTTAGAACGTAATAATTTAAAAGGAACATCTAGATTTACCATACATAGAAGAATATTCCTAACCCAATTCTTTTTAGAATGTTTCTCCTGAACATAGTGAAATATTTAGTCAATATCCACCCAAA